ATGTTTTATAGTCTTTTAACTCTGTGGCTTACTTACGAAGAAAGATGAATTTTGGTGATGGAGAAGAAACATATTGAATATATTTACATCTAATTAACCATAATACAATGTGAAAATGGTAAATATAAATAAATTCTAGCTTAATTATTTATTTTATTTATTACCTTTTTTATAAAAAATATATGTCATGGATTATAGTCTTTTAACTTTTGTTTTTAGTGGTGAAAAACCTAAAATTTTGCGATGGAGTAGAAAATAAAATATAATAAATTTTTTACATCTACTATAGTCTATCATATTTTTTGGATAGTGACAAAAAACCTAAAACTTTGCAATGGTGAAGAAAAATATCTAATATTTTTAGATGCAATATACCATAAATCAATGTGAATACGTTAAATATCAACAATAATGAGCTCGATTATTTAATTTTAATTGTTATGCACATGTATATATTATGGGTCATTTATTTGTAGCCGCTTAACTTAGTTTCCTAGAGGTTAAGAAACCAAAATATTGGTAACGGAGAAGAAGAAAAATATAGAAATTGTTTACATCTATTATGTTATATAGTCGTTTTAACTCTGTGGCTTACTGACGAAGAAAGACGAAACTGGGTGATGGAGAATAAGCATATTGAATATATTTACATATCATTAACCATAATTCAATATGAAAATGGTAAATATAAATAAATTCTAGCTAGGTTATTTATTACCTATTTGATAAAAAAATATATGTCATGAATTATAGTCTTTTAACTTTGTTTTTTAGTGGGGAAAAACCTAAAATTTTGTGATGGAGTAGAAAATAAAATATAATTAATTTTTTACATCCAATATAGTCTATCATATTTTTTGGATAGTGATAAAAGACCTAAAACTTTGCAATGGTGATGAAAAATATCTAATATTTTTAGATGCAATATACCATAAATCAATGTGAATACGTTAAATATAAACAATAATGAGCTCGATTATTTAAATTTAATTGTTATGCATATGTATATATTTTGGGTCATTCATTTTCAATCTATTAACTTAGTTTCCTAGATGTTAATAAACCAAAATTTTGGTGACGGAGAAGAAGAAAAATATAGAAATTGTTTACATCTATTATGTTATATAGTCTTTTTAACTTTGTGGCTTACTGACGAAGAAAGATGAAGCTGGGTGATGGAGAAGAAACATATTGAATATATTTACATATAATTAACCCTAATTCAATGTGAAAATGGTAAATATAAATAAATTCTAGCTTGATTATTTATTACCTATTTTATAAAAAAATATATGTCATGGATTATTGTCTTTTAACTTTGTTTTTTAGGGGGGAAAAACATAAAATTGTGTGATGGAGTAGAAAAATAAAATATAATCAATTTTTTAAATCTACTATAGTCTATCATGTTTTTTGCATAGTGATATAAAAACCTAAAACTTTGCAATGGTGAAGAAAAATATCTAATATTTTTAGATGTAATATGCCATAAGTCAATGTGAATACGATGAATATAAACAATATTGAGCTTGATTATTTCATTTTAATTGTTATGCTTATGTACAAATTATGGGTCATTCATTTGTAGTCTCTTAACTTAGTTTCTTAGAGGTTAAGAAACCAAAATTTTGGTGACAGAGAAGAAGAAAAATATAGAAATTGTTTACATCTATTATGTTTTATAGTCTTTTAACTCTGTGGCTTACTTACGAAGAAAGATGAATTTTGGTGATGGAGAAGAAACATATTGAATATATTTACATCTAATTAACCATAATACAATGTGAAAATGGTAAATATAAATAAATTCTAGCTTAATTATTTATTTTATTTATTACCTTTTTTATAAAAAATATATGTCATGGATTATAGTCTTTTAACTTTTGTTTTTAGTGGTGAAAAACCTAAAATTTTGCGATGGAGTAGAAAATAAAATATAATAAATTTTTTACATCTACTATAGTCTATCATATTTTTTGGATAGTGACAAAAAACCTAAAACTTTGCAATGGTGAAGAAAAATATCTAATATTTTTAGATGCAATATACCATAAATCAATGTGAATACGTTAAATATAAACAATAATGAGCTCGATTATTTAATTTTAATTGTTATGCACATGTATATATTATGGGTCATTTATTTGTAGCCGCTTAACTTAGTTTCCTAGAGGTTAAGAAACCAAAATATTGGTGACGGAGAAGAAGAAAAATATAGAAATTGTTTACATCTATTATGTTATATAGTCGTTTTAACTCTGTGGCTTACTGACGAAGAAAGACGAAACTGGGTGATGGAGAATAAGCATATTGAATATATTTACATATCATTAACCATAATTCAATATGAAAATGGTAAATATAAATAAATTCTAGCTAGGTTATTTATTACCTATTTGATAAAAAATATATGTCATGAATTATAGTCTTTTAACTTTGTTTTTTAGTGGGGAAAAACCTAAAATTTTGTGATGGAGTAGAAAATAAAATATAATTAATTTTTTACATCCAATATAGTCTATCATATTTTTTGGATAGTGATAAAAGACCTAAAACTTTGCAATGGTGATGAAAAATATCTAATATTTTTAGATGCAATATACCATAAATCAATGTGAATACGTTAAATATAAACAATAATGAACTCGATTATTTAAATTTAATTGTTATGCATATGTATATATTTTGGGTCATTCATTTTCAATCTATTAACTTAGTTTCCTAGATGTTAATAAACCAAAATTTTGGTGACGGAGAAGAAGAAAAATATAGAAATTGTTTACATCTATTATGTTATATAGTCTTTTTAACTTTGTGGCTTACTGACGAAGAAAGATGAAGCTGGGTGATGGAGAAGAAACATATTGAATATATTTACATATAATTAACCCTAATTCAATGTGAAAATGGTAAATATAAATAAATTCTAGCTTGATTATTTATTACCTATTTGATAAAAAAATATATGTCATGGATTATTGTCTTTTAACTTTGTTTTTTAGGGGGGAAAAACCTAAAATTTTGTGATGGAGTAGAAAAATAAAATATCATCAATTTTTTAAATCTACTATAGTCTATCATGTTTTTTGCATAGTGATATAAAAACCTAAAACTTTGCGATGGTGAAGAAAAATATCTAATATTTTTAGATGTAATATGCCATAAGTCAATGTGAATACGATGAATATAAACAATATTGAGCTTGATTATTTCATTTTAATTGTTATGCTTATGTACAAATTATGGGTCATTCATTTGTAGTCTCTTAACTTAGTTTCTTAGAGGTTAAGAAACCAAAATTTTGGTGACAGAGAAGAAGAAAAATATAGAAATTGTTTACATCTATTATGTTTTATAGTGTTTTAACTCTGTGGCTTACTTACGAAGAAAGATGAATTTTGGTGATGGAGAAGAAACATATTGAATATATTTACATCTAATTAACCATAATACAATGTGAAAATGGTAAATATAAATAAATTCTAGCTTAATTATTTATTTTATTTATTACCTTTTTTATAAAAAATATATGTCATGGATTATAGTCTTTTAACTTTTGTTTTTAGTGGGGAAAAACCTAAAATTTTGCGATGGAGTAGAAAATAAAATATAATAAATTTTTTACATCTACTATAGTCTATCATATTTTTTGGATAGTGACAAAAAACCTAAAACTTTGCAATGGTGAAGAAAAATATCTAATATTTTTAGATGCAATATACCATAAATCAATGTGAATACGTTAAATATAAACAATAATGAGCTCGATTATTTAATTTTAATTGTTATGCACATGTATATATTATGGGTCATTTATTTGTAGCCGCTTAACTTAGTTTCCTAGAGGTTAAGAAACCAAAATATTGGTGACGGAGAAGAAAAAAATATAGAAATTGTTTACATCTATTATGTTATATAGTCGTTTTAACTCTGTGGCTTACTGACGAAGAAAGGCAAAATTGGGTGATGGAGAAGAAACATATTGAATATATTTACATATCATTAACCATAATTCAATATGAAAATGGTAAATATAAATAAATTCTAGCTAGGCTATTTATTACATATTTGATAAAAAAATATATGTCATGGATTATAGTCTTTTAACTTTGTTTTTTAGTGGGGAAAAACCTAAAATTTTGTGATGGAGTAGAAAAATAAAATATCATCAATTTTTTAAATCTACTATAGTCTATCATGTTTTTTGCATAGTAATATAAAAACCTAAAACTTTGCGATGGTGAAGAAAAATATCTAATATTTTTAGATGTAATATGCCATAAGTCAATGTGAATACGATGAATATAAACAATATTGAGCTTGATTATCTCATTTTAATTGTTATGCTTAT